GCCCCCCCGCCCCCAACAACCCGGTGCGGGAAGCCGCGGAGACGCATCATGAGCATCAGTGGTGGTGCCCGGCGGCGCACCCCCCCTTCCCCCCCCCCCCCTAGCATCGGAATTGTTGTGTGTTAGGAGTCTGACTTCATTGTTGTATACTATAGTTCGTAGCTTGCAATCAGTATTGTGGGATTCCAAGTTCTAGCATGATTCTCCAGAAAAGAGTTGCATAGTGGTTTGGGGCGTGGCCGTCCAATCCGGAGGCTGTTGCTGCAATGCCTGCAACTCTGGATTCAAGTTCTGGCTCGGATCACGAGATTATCATCCAGGGCTTGAGACAGCAGCTACAAAAGTTTTCCACCTACGATGTCTTTTATGTCTATCGAGCACCGAAGGCAAGGGCCCCAATCCCCGCACAACAGGTGGATCCCTGGTACATACTTAAGAGGTGGCTACATCACCACAGCTATGACAAGTGGAGTGGTATCACGGTCAACTTTGCAGGAAGGGAAACTTTGCCTGTTGGGTTAAGTGGAGTTCACTCTTATTCAACATGTCCTTTCTTTACCAGGGTGCAGGAATTTATAAATCAAAAAGAGGATCAAAGCTGTAGCGGACCGTACTTTACCTACGTAGTAGTCTATACCTGGTCCCGCCCCGCTGAAGCAACCTCTGGCTGAAATACAAACTCCCGAAAACATCTTGAACTGCAACGTATATAATATATACTTGAAACTCCTATGAAACAAACCGTAAGGCTTGTGTCCACATCAGATGCAGGGTATGATTTTGTAAGTGATCCGGCCTGCTTGGCCGAATTGGCTCTTCCTGCTTTTTGCGGGGCCGTCGTGAATTCATGTTGAAACGTGCGTGCATGCATGCACGATACAATTTATGTGCTGTACAGATTCCCGACACAAGATGTGCTGTGGTGTGGGGCGACCATATGTTGCCAGGTATCTGTCCTTTAGCTATATATGTGTATATTATATATACATGTTGTATATATATATATATAATATATATATATATATAGATAGTGTGTGTGTAACATGTTAAATTGCACATGCATGTGTTTGTATACACTCTCAAGCCACGGTATGATGTGAGTCCCAGAATGACCACAGCATCATGTGTGCATAACCTGCAGTGCTGCTGCAGAAGCAAAACAGTGTTTCCGGGGTGCAGAGCCGATGAGGAGCTTTTGCAAGTGTCAGCCGTGCAGCAAGGAACCGCCTCGGATTGAAAGCGATTTGGGCATGCTAAATGTACAGTGTGTCGCAGCTTTTTGTGCTGTGACGATCGATCTGTGTCTGATCTGAACCCTGCCTGACACTGCTAGCGATGTCTGGTGGTGCTGAAAAGGCTTTGCAGAAGGACATGCCCAGCAGGGCATGGAGCCTCGACACCCTTCGTTTGGGTTTGGACGCTGTGGAGCTTCAGCAAGTCAAGGAAGAGGTGCTTGATCGTGACATTAAGGACTGGACTGCAGGGCTTGTGTAATACACTCGTTGGGGGTCGCTTGCAGAAGCTACATTCCCTAAATTCCAGGAAGTCGAGCGCCTCCTGCAAGCGGAAATGAATCAGGATGTGCAGAAGCGCCCGCTCAAGAACACGCCGAGCAAACAGCCGGAACCCAGCCCGAATGTAGCGCCGCTGAAGAAGAGCAAGACAGCTCTGGATTCCCCCCTGAAGCCCATGCATCTGAGCTTCAGCCCAGACAGCGGCAAAGCCGGGGCCGACAGGAAGGCTGCCACCGCCACTGCCTCCGCTGCATGTGCTGAGAATGATCTACCGGAGACGTATATAGAGGGTTCGGATGTCTACACTATTGTGGAAGTTCCGGAGTTCGGTCCCGATCGTACTGGTGACTCTCATCCATACGTCATGCCGTGGCATTCCGAAGCTGATCTTCCGGAAGGTGAAATGAGAGAGCGCCTCAAGGAGGCCGTGTATAGCAGGTAGCTATAGAAGATAGTGCTATAAATTCGTTATAAGGTATATATATATATATATCACAAGTCGGGGACATTACACTATCTCAGGTTGAAGAAAAGTCTCTTGGTAAACCGTATATCATGTGTTGTAAGGGTTTATATGTCTAGAATGTGTATATAATGCACATCAAAATTCGTTATGTCTACGTCACGACAGAACATGCGCACACACACACACACTGTACACACTCCATATCACTATCATTTCTACATTTGGTAGAGGCCCTTGGTGGAGCGGCTGTTCTCAATCCTTACTCCGAAGAGTATATGTACCGGACGAAGAGCAAGGCAGCATCCACTGATGCCCTGTCGGATGCAGTGTCCACCGCCACCGCTTCCTCGGAGTACGAAGCCCGCTACAAGGCCTTGCAGGACATCTGCCGGGCCAAAGATGCTCAAATCGAAACGCTGCTCAAGGAGCTGGAGGATGCGAAGGAGACGATCCGGAAGGGCAGTGTCTCGAACACGGGTGGTGAGGTTACCGAGGAACCGGTTGATGCTGAGGTGGCCTCGGTGGCCCCAGCGGTTGCGGTGACAGGCGCTGCTGCAAAGCAGCGATTGCGCAGGTTGTGCGAGCGGCGGGCAGATGGAAGGCTCCAAGTCCCCGAGGAGATCCACGATCAGTGGAAAGCAGGTGGAGCTTCCAGGGAGCGCCTCTTGAAGATCTGGGTCGGTTCGGGCATGGACAAGGACTCCTTCGTCCGCGAGGTCACCCATGAGACCAAGAAGAGCAAAGAGCTCAAGATTTCGGTGACGGGGGACTTCTTCACCGAGGAGGAGATGAAGGAGGAGCTTGGCCTGCCCAAGTGTCCGGTGCTGCATGAGTCGGGTTTATTCTTTGATGTGGATGCTCAGATGCTCTTGTGATGCTCATGATGCTCCCCGGGTTCTATGTGCTCCGAGCTTACCGATTAAATTCGCACTCATATAACATATGTGCATGCGCACGCACACACACACACACAGAGCAAACACATGCATGAAATATGTGTATATATATATATATATTTATTTATTTATTTATTTAATTTATAACCCTCCACCTCAAAGTATGCTGTAATACACAGTCCTCTATATCATAGGCACTCGTCCTATCTTGAGCTCGTGTATATAACACCGTACTAAGTATATCCGAACCCCAAACACCCAACTGAACAACAGACCTCGATGGCCCTGGCTCGAAATCTCAGGGTGCGCATCGACGAAATAAAGGCTTGGTGCGAGAAGAACCCCAGCTTCAAAAGGACTGCACTGCTCTTGTACATTTCCAGTAGTGTAACTATGGTTGGTATACGTTCCCTTCATGCAGGCAGGACACCTACAATGCGGGGAAAACGCGTTTCTGGTGTGAGCGCAAGACGACAGCCAGCATGGAGCAGGCTCACCGCACAGAGATCACAGATCGAATGACAATGGAGGCAGAGCCGGACATGGACGAGAAGGGCGAAAATGTTCTGATCCGTGACGATTGCCACGGCTTCAACCTGTCCGACTTTGACATCGGTGCCGGTGCCTCTGCATCCGGCGCTGGCTCAAGCAGCGACAATCCTGGGATGCTAGCAGGCGGCGACACCAAAAGACCAGAATCCTAAATCCCTCAACATCCCCTCCTTGGAAAACCCTTTATAAAAGTCCAATGTAGGGGTTATACACGCCGAAGAGAAAGCACTGTCTAAAAATACTATTCTCGGTTATAGTTTGTTGTATTTTAAACAATACGTGGGGGTTAGGGTTTCCGGCTTCGTACGATGTTTATATAATAGGAATATAGCATAGGCTTATTGTGCACGGCTGTATAGGGTTTATTTTAGTGTAGCCAGAACTATGAAACTAGCTGACCCCGCAGCCTTGCAACCAAAGCTTATCTTGGCAGCCCCAAACCTGAGGCTCTGGGAAAGATCCTGTTGCCCAGCTCGGTTTGCCGAAGCTCATGGGCGGTGTCAAGCCCGAGGTGCATCTTATGACCTACCAGAGTTGCCTCATGAATCGGATGGCCAAGCTGACTGATTCAAGAAGCAAGCCAGATTCCATCCCCGTCAAAGATCAAACCGATGCCGTGAAGAAGCCCCCTGGACGCCAGCATTCCCCAGTTGCATGCATATATGATCCTGTGAATCAAACCCCGGCCCCAGTGTATCCCAGGCTGCTTGAGAAGATCGATGCCAACTTGTCGGTGATGGATGCTCTGCACGACCAGATGTCCGAGATCTATGCAGAAGCTAGTGTGCAAGGCCATGGGCCTGGGACCCTTGGACAACAATAAAGCTTTGCGTGGAGTAGAAAATCACCCTTGCCATCCCGCAAAATTGAGGCAATCTGCTGCTTTGGTCGACTTGTACCAGAAGGCAACCCGAGCGCCTCCCGGATGCAATCCCCGTTTATATGAGTTTCTTGGTGCCTCGGGGTTTTGTGGGTTGTGGAAGTGCTAGTGACTGCTAGTGTGGTGAGCAAGTTGTGTGGGGTAGTTTTCCGGTAGGATCCTGGCAAAGACTATGTAAGCCATTTATAGGCTTAACTTCGGCTCCTTCTTCAACCCTTGCCCAGTGTGAACCCCAATATATCCCTGTAAATTCCCAAACTGTTGAAGAATGCTATCTAGTCCGGCCAACCAAAGTACGATGACCCAGGCAACACTCCATGTCGCCTTTGATGATCCTGAAAGCCAACTGTTCTAGCTTCCGGCATTGTCAAGGTTATATCGAGGCAGATTCAACTATAGGTCGATGTCGAATATAAACTTCATTATTTTCTAGCCAGTATACTCAGGTTAACAACTCCGCTAAAACATCGCCCTGAACAACAGTCTTGACACTGTGATTCCATAGGAAAAGGAGGAACCGAGTCCAATTCGAGTCTGTGTATGGGACCTCATAGGTTGCCCATTCTATACACCATCTCTGCAGTGACAACCATCTACACTTTCCACGTTACTTAATCATTTGAGGCCAATCCCCAGACAAGACTCAAGAAGGCCTCCCCCTGTACAACCATGGCACAGACTACTAAACCCGAGCGAAACCTAATCTTAAGAAATCATTTTTGTTGTTTCTGTACCATATATCATTTCGAGGAGACACTACCTACACAAATCCCGAAACCCATCGACCCATCCTAAAGTCGTATACAGCTATAGTTGATCCGAGGGCCGTGGAAAGCCTCGGCTTGGAGATGCGCGCCAAGCAGTGCAAGCCGCCCAAGGCGGCCAAGGCAGAGCCTTCCGTGCCAAGGGCAAAGCCGAAGGCTGGTGCTAAGGTGGCTCCCGCTAAGAAGGCGGAGGAGGCGGAAGATCATGCCCCTGCTGCCGAGCCCAAGGCTAAGCCTAAGGCAGCCCCCAAGGTTTCCACCCGTGTCAGAGGAAAGGCTCCTGAGTGAGATCGGTGCACAGTGCACATTTGAGCTTGAGGATGCTATGGTATGGTGTGGGATGGTTGGGTATGCTGCATAATTAGCTTAAGTCAGCTAGCTTACAGGGCCTCAACAGCTCACCTGAAACGCTGCATAGAACCCGGCCGTAGAACCTGCTCCCATCCTAGTGTCCGATGTGTTATTTCGGCACTCACGCAGAGTGCAGCGGGAACCAAGTTTTGGAGTTGTCGGCATGAATAGACATGCCAAGGGGACCCTAGGTTGTGCAGCGCTCTTGATGTCGAGGAGACAAAAAGTCAGCAGCACACACACGTGCGAGTGTCTGCATGTGCATGTGTCTGCAGAGTCGCATGTCTATCCGAAGCCACCTAGTATATATGCATGCAAAACACAAGCATTAATATCGCCCGCAGGTCCAGGGCCAAGCGCAACCAAATTGGTGGCAGCTTTGGGGAATGGTGTGTGGAGCTCAGTATAGCCACGCAGGTTTCATACAGGTTGAAGGGTTTGAGGGCCAGCTTCGAAGTGTGGCAGCAGTTGCAGGCAAACCACCCAAGGACCCAAAAAGATACCTAAACTTCTGAAGAGCCTATATACACTATGTTTTTGTATAGCTTTATCTACTCAACTTGCAAGCCCTGATGAAACACCTTGTGAAAACAACAATTCGCAAACCCCAAGCATCCAAACGCCCTGCAATAGGAGTCGCATGCTATACCTCCCATATACCCTGCTAGCTTAGCGCTTGGTAAACCCAATCATTATCCGACGCAAAACCAAATAGAACCCATTCCCAGGATCCCGCCAAACGGGTGGTCAGCCTCGCCAGATCCATCGAGCAGGAGGCGCCAGGCTGCCTCAGAGGCATCAAGCTGATGTCGAATGTGGATCTTTCACATGCGGAGATTAGGCTTCACAAGCTGGTTCGGGAGTGGGGGCTGACGCTTGACATTCCAATGTCTTTTATGAGACAGGGCCTGTTTTGGGTTCCAATTTTGCATGTGCCGGATTGGATGACTTACATGCTGCATAAAGAACCTCGAGTGTTGGTGGGCGGCTACACTGTACGGGATCCTGAAGTACACTGGCACCTCAGAGCCTTTTGGCACGCTTATCGTCACGAGGACACTTCGCATGAAGTTTATATGTACCACAGCGACAGACTTCATGTTTGTATTCCTTACTTCCTCTACCTGGACGAGGGTCGCGGATACAGAAAAAGTCCGGTGATGATTGTTGCCTTCGAGAGTGTATTGGGTGTTGCTACCAAAAGAAATTTTGATCTGAAGAACGCAGGCCGAAGTTCATACACCGATGATGACGAGCACTTTCGAGCTTGCTTGGATGCACAGCTGCATACCTCAAAGGGCAGTTCACTGATGTCCAGGTTTGCGGTTACTGCGATCCCTCATCAGTGGTACAGGACAACCAAGGAGATTGACAGGTCTCAGGTGTTCCACAACACTATCACGAAGATCTCCGAAAAGTGCCGCGACTTATTCTACAACGGTTGCGAAGACAAGCATGGCCAAAAATGGTACGGTGTTCTGATCGGTCTCAAGGGCGATAGCCCTGCTCTCGCCAAAGCTGGAAAACTTACGGCAAACTTTATGAGGCTTGGCAAGGACAAGCGTATCTGTCATATGTGCATGGCGGGACTGGATGACCTGCCATGGGAAGACGTCTCAAATCGTGCATCCTGGCAAAGCACATTGTATGAAGAACGTCCTTGGGATGCTGAGAATGTTTCGGCTTTGCTTTCCATCCCGTACGATGCTTCAAAACCCGAAGCACTATTCAAAAATGACCCATTCCACGTCGTCAAGTACGGCATCGCGCGACACTTTACGGCAAGCTGCCTGGTGACTTTGATTTTCTTGGACATTTTCCCTGGGGAGCTCAACAATGTAGAAGTGCGACTGGAGCGAGCGTATAGTGACTTCCGATCGGCTTGCCGCCAACTCAAGTCCAGCCCGAATCTCAAGGGCTTTACTCGGGAAATAATACATCTCAAACACAACGATTCCTGGCCGTGGGGGGGCTACAAAGGCTCTGACTGCACTCTCATGCTTCGTTGGCTGGTTCGCCTGCTGCGGTATGGCCCTTGCGATAATCAGGGGGCGCGAACCAAGGGTCCACTCACAGCGCTTTTTGCAAGAGATGCAGCCACACAAGGGATTCTCGAAGCAATGCTAGATGGTGCTTGCTCCTGTCTTCTATTCTTCGAGATCATCAACAAGTCTGGACTTTGGCTCAATCGTCAGCAAGCTACAAAAGCAAAGCCACTCTGACAGATAAACTAAGACTACTACCCGGTTTTATAAGCCCCGACTACAAGCCCAATCTAAGCCCTGCAGCCCGAACTAAATGAATCAAAAGCTAGGCCATTCAATCGGGTTTTCTTTCACTCGGGTTATCCCTAAAATACTTGTTTTTTTTGCAGGGCTTCAGTTTCTGTTTTTGTTTAAGTTATGATGTCCTGGGATTTTCAACCGACCCCCCAAGGAATGCTGTGGAGATGTTTACATCCTGCTATGTTTTCTTGGCGAACAGGATGCATGAGCGACGAGAGAATCGTTTCCATCTGGAACCATCGCTTCATTTATTCAAGCATATGGCATTCAGGCTTCAGCTTCAACTAGCAGTGAAAACCTGCAACTACATCCTCAGCCCTGCGGCATTCCTGGCTGAGGCCGGGGAGGACTTTATTGGCAAAGTGGCTCGTCTTTCGAGGCGAGTCTCTGCACGGCTCACAGGACAACGAACCCTGGAAAGGATGCTCATCAAAACTTATATGGATTGGAAAGAGCTAGACTGATTAGCTTGGCCCCTGCTGCAAGGATGATGCACACAAGCTTTGGCCCCTGCTGCAAGGATGTTGTGCACAAATGCGAGATAGCTAAGTTATGCGCTGTTTCCTATATGGTTTGCTATAAGGGTTAGATAAATTTAAGTCCTGTGCATGGCCTCTCAGCTGCAGCAGAGTTGCAACTCGATCGATGTGCCCGAGCACGCTGGCCGTGAAATGCGAGATGTCCAACTCTAAAGGAAGGATTGGGGTTGATAAGCTTCGGAGCTTGCTTTGAAAGGATCCTGAATAATCGATGTATCGTACTCTATGCAGTGTTTTGTCGGAATGTCAGGCAATGATTCTTCTGGAGAGCAGAAATGTAAGCCCCTGAGAGCTTCAATCAGCCCAACTTTCTTTCAAGCCTGTATCGAAACAGCCAAGCATGCAGCTCTCAACCCTCATGCCCTACAGCAGTGCCTTACAAGATCACAGCGCAGACCTGCAACTCAACCAGTTAAGGTGCTTAGGGTTGAGGCCTTCTGCTTGGAATGGTACCGGTGGGATAGGGTTGAAGTATTCTGTTTGGGATTCTACGGGTGGGCTGTCCAGGGTTGCGGTATTTTGTTTGGGGTGCTACGTGTGGGGTAAGCTAGGGCCTGCATGGTTATCCAGATCTCCTCGACGAGGGTCTTCCGCAAAAGGTTTCGGAAATAGCTTGTGGCGGGATTTAGGGTGTGGCAGCTACTTAGCTTGCAACAGTGGTCGCAGGAATGTATACCAAACATTGTTGAACCATGCAATATCATCGAACGTTATTTTTGCTGGGCTCCCGAAAGAACCTGAAGGCTGATATTGGCTTTTTGTGTTCCTCCTTAAAACCCAAAGGCTGATATCGATTCACTCTGCGTTTTTTGGTTTTGGGGCTTCGACGAAAGCCGCTTTCAGCCCAAGGGCTGAAAAGGATGACAGAATCAGGTATGGCTGAAATAATGGGCACAAACAGCTTAGCAGGTATGTAGATATCCCCAAAAAGGAACTACAATGGAGCCTATGCTTAGTTTGCTCTCTCCACGATGCGCAAGACCCACATGAAGATCACGGGATGTCGGCTGCAGTGGAGAGCCATGACCATCAGAGCCGCAGCAGATAGTATCCTGCATCATGCCATAAACCCCAAACAGTGAAGCGTAATATGCCCCGAAACCCTAAACCCTAAGATGCTCCGCTACTCTTTGAATGAACCCTCTTATAAAATCCCCGTCCCGAGAATGAAACCCTGTGGTACCCTTTAAGGGATCCTTTAAAGGGGATCCGGCTACAGAAACCCCGAAGTGCCCTGAAGGGAGGGTTCAGGGTTTAGGGTTCAGAGTTTGGGGTTCAGGGTTTAGGGTTTCGAGGTTAGTGTAGGGTTCAGAGTTTGGGGTTCAGGGTTTAGGGTTTCGAGGCTAGTGGTTTAGGGTTTGAGCCCTTACTGAAACTCATCCGAATCCTCGAGCCTGAGATTGCACCACCAAGCGGTCGTCCCCGACAAGCCTCAGAGAGCCAGGCTATGGGTAACCCACCCAAGGATCAACAGCGGAGAGCCTTAATCATGGTTGGAATACGGCTTTCATGTAAAGGGCTCTCTAAGGGCTACTATAAAACCCTAAACCCTAAACCGTAAAAGAGGCCACCACCTCAATTATGGAGGGGTCTAGAAGTGCCTGGGCTGCTATAAGAGGGTACCAGAAGGTGAATTCCCAAAGGATCAAACGTGCGCCTCGGGGATCAGGCTTTTCGGACCCACGAGATCAAACAAGGAGGTTTAGGGTCTAGGGCTTTAGGGTTTAGGGACCCAAGAGATCAAACAAGGAGGCTTAGGGTTCATGATTTAGGACTCATGGTTTAGGGTTTCGGGTTTAGGGTCTGGGGCTTTAGGATTTAGGGTTTAGGGACCCAGCGATCAACAAAGGAGGTCTAATGTTTAGGATTGGGCTTTGTTAATATACCATCTCCAGACGATTCATCGGAGGCGTAACAGGATGAGGTTTTGTGGTCTGTTATACTATACATTCAAAGGAGCTCATCGTTAATTATTCAGGCTTGCATACTATGCAAGCACGAGCGCCAAGCGTTGCTAACAGCCGTTCCAAACTGCCCCAACAGTTTTTCTTCTGCTGGTCATCTTCAGCGTTCGCGATTAGATAGTTTTTCGGCTTCAGGTTCCCCATGTTAGCTGATCTTGCACAGCACTGCTATCACCACCAGAGCCAGCTTCACCCCATGTCACGACAGATCCATCACCAAGAACGGCAACGAAGGCTCTGCTGGAAGAATAGAGCTGCTGCACATTCTTCAAATGATGCTGCAAAGCACTACTGTTCCCACCATAATCCACAGTGTCATCGCCTTGGCCCGAGTGACCCCATGTCACGACAGTTCCATCGCCACAAATGGCAGCAAAAGCACCGTCAGAAGCCTGGATCTGCTGCACATTCTTCAGGTGATCTTGCACAGCACGACTGTCGCCACCATATTCAGGGTCTCCCCAGCTAACCACAGATCCATCACCAAGGACGGCCGCAAAAGCGGGCTGCGTGGCTTGGATCTGTCGCACATCCTTCAGCTGATGCTGCACGGCACTGCTGTCAGCACCAAAATAATCTGCACCCCAGGTCACGACGGATCCATTTCCAAGAATGGCAGCAAAAGCGCAGGTCGTGGCCGCTATCTGCTGCACATTCCTCAGCTGACCCTGAACAGCAGTACTGTCGCCACCAAATTCAGCAGGGCCCCAAGTCACCACGGATCCATCGACGAGGATGGCAGCAAAAGCGCCGTGAGAGGCCTGGATCTGCTGCACATTCTTCAGCTGATCCTGCACAGCAGTACTGTCACCGCCAGCACTAACTTCACCCCAGGACACGACAGATCCATCACCAAGAACCGCAGCAAAAGCGTGGTGCGCGGCTTGGATCTGTCGAACATCCTTCAGCTGATGCTGCACGGCACTACTGTCACCGCCCAAGCCAGGCGGGCCCCAAGTCACTACGGATCCATCACCTAGAAGGGCAGCGAAAGCTCTGTCAGCGGCATGGATGTGCCGCACATCCTTCAGCTGATGCTGCACTTCACGACTATCACAGCCAGGACCCCAGGTCACAACAGTTCCATCGCCACGAAGGGCAGCAAAAGAGCAACTCGAAGCCTGGATTTGCTGCACATTCTTCAGCTCATCCTGTACAGCAGTGCTGTCACCACCATACTCAACATCGCCCCACGTCACGACTGTTCCATCGCCCAGAAGGGCAGCAACAGCAAACATCGTGCCACATGCTTGAACTCGGTTTACGTGCAAAATCAGGGAACCACCGTCCTGCAGCGTTGTGCACTTGATCGGCGTGGTTGCATCCAGAACGGCTCCGGATACGTCCACCAGCCGACCTTTTCCGACTCCGAGCGCGGTCTGTGCCCGAGATATCAATGCTCCTACCTCTTCATCCAAGCCTGCTTCGACAATAGCTGTCTTACCGCTGAGGAGTCCAACCTCAAGAGCAATCGACATCCTGCCCACCACAGATGGACCTGTGGAGGAGCAGCACAGCAAAGCTAAACCTTTCTGGTGCGGGGTATGTGTCAACTGCTAGCGCTTTCGTAGCTTGCGGGCACTAAATCAAAGGCCGAACTATGTGGTTGGAAGAAGTCAGCTACGCTACCACTCCGAACAGATAATGTTAATGATGTCAATTTATGCTAATGGGCCCTAAACCCTAAGCCCTTAGTGGGCATGAAGCCCCGACTTCTAAGCCTTCGGGCCAATATGCGACTTTCCGAAAATTAGGGTACCTTATTTTGGGGTCCTTTTAATAAGGATCATACTATTTAGGGTACTATATTNNAACCCCTAAACCCTAAACCCAATATCCGTGTCACGTCAAGCCTAAGAGTCGAACGGCAGCTTCGAACAGCAGAAGCGATGTTGGTCAGAGTCCTACAGCAGAAAGCAGTTTAGGGTTTAGGGTTTAGGGTGTTTAGGCTCACCCTCTACCCATAGGCCCCTAAGTAGTTCCTTTTTGGGATTACCTTATAGGATTCTAAATATAAACCACAAGAAGGAACCACTTAGGGGCCTATGGGAAAGCAGAACTCACGAACCCTAAACCGTAAACCCTGAACCCTAAACCCTCAACGCTAAACCCTAGACCTTATAAACCCCACATCCCAAACGTACAATACAGCGCTTGCCCTAAAATCCCTAAAACACCTAAAACCCCTAAAACCCCTAAAACCCTTAAACCCCCCTAAAACCCCTAAAACCCCTAAAATCCCTAATGAAGCCTCAAAAGTCAGGCCGAGGTCTCCGTGTTTAGGGTATAGGGGTTTAGGGCTTAGGGTTTAAGGCTTTGGGTATAGGGTTTAGGGCTTAGGGTTTAATTTAAGGCTTAGGGTTTAGGGTTTAGGGCTTAGGGTTTAGGGTTTAAGGCTTAGGGTTTAGGGTTTAGGGTTTGGAAGGAAGCTAGA